GGCAGCTACTCAGCTGCTTGTGGTAGATCCCACCATGGAGTTGATTGCCAGTCTCATAGTGGGGAATAACTACCACCAGCTGCCCAGCCACACAACCAGACCCAGCCAAGCTGACACACAAACTTAACTACCACAATCAGTAAATGATCAGTGTGGTACAGAGCACCTCCCCATTCTAGAGACAGTGTCTTCATCAATGCAGCCTCAGATCATATGCTGCTCTGTGGCAACCGCAGTTGAATGTTCACTCATATTTACATTAACGCATCCAGGGGTTTTCTCACAAGGGCTGTTGTCTTTTCCCTTCCTCTGGTCCATGCCCCCACACCCACCCTCCAGCACACTCCAGCACACACAATGTCATTTTAATCCTCATGAGAGAATAATCCTTGGGTGATGGGTACCATTTTACAACCAACTGTGAATTTAAATTAGACTTCACTTTATGAATCCATGAGTTTGCACTGGAGCCAGCACTAGGATTAGAGCCAAAGGCAGGGAGATAGGGTGTAGGTGAGCTGAAAAAGATGGAAACATAACAGAATGTATCTAAGATGAATAATTATTTGATTCTTCCTCTCTAAACAAGGTTAGGGAGAAGATGAAAAGAGTCATCCATGGAACAGTTCTAGAAAAGAAGGCAGGATCTGGACAAGTCTGAAAATTCATCTCTCATTACCCTAGAGACTCCTGTGTGTAGGGGCTGAGTTAGGTGACATGGGACAATAAGCAAAATGACTCCTGCAGCAGTCAGATGAGTGACACCCACAGCAAATGAGACCAGAACTCTTACACAAGAACATAAACAGGCATAATCTTCTGTAAAAACAAAAATAATCACACAAATGATGGGGACTAAAAGCTAGACTTAGTGTGAGCCAGGGAGACCAAGCCACTAGAAGTGGTCACTGCCTATACCTCTAGGGACAGGACAAGGCCTAGGTGTGTCTGAGTCCCTGTGATCACATGACAAAGTTGGATAAGGTTCTATGGAAAGGACAAGGAAAATAGTGATGTGAAAGTTGACCCAGCCGAGAAGTGACCATGTCAATACTCATGCTGTCCTGAGCACCGACTGGGCACAGGCCCCATCCACACTCAGCTCCTCCACTGCCTTCTCCTGTGCTTATCTGTGATACACTCAGTACAGAAAACATGTGGATTCTGGAACATTCTCAGGTTTTAATTTATTTCCTCTCAAGTTTTCAGAATTTTCCTCTTTTAATTAACCCATCAACCTAGCACTTGGCAAAATTTGAATGATCGAATACATTTTCAGATTCTCATTTTCAATTCATAAGTGAGACACTGCATCTCAGAGCAACAGGGTATTAGGTCAGGGATGGAGATATTCTAGCCCCACCTCTGCTGGAATGGGGAATGTAGATTAAGGAAGGGACTCAGTGTGGGGAGAGGGTCCTGGTGGGCAGGAGCGCGTTAGTCCCCCCACATCCTCATATTATGCTGATTGGAGAGCAGACACAGTCAGACACCAGTTGCAGAAGAGAAGTCAGGGTTTCTTGAATCACAAAGGAGGAGCTGAACAAATCTTGTCTCACTTTGTCCTACACAAGACAGCTATCTCATGCTACAGAAGAAAAGAATCATGAACAAATTCAGGTCAGTCACTGTAAGTGTTGACACTCTGAACACCCCATCAGAATCTCAAAATGTCAAAATCCAAAGAATCCCCATGACCCAGTCATGTTACCCCATCCTCAACCCCTCTCACTTATCTGGTCCACAGGGTCTTACCATTAGTGACCGTGAGAGACACATCAGAGCCCTGAGCACTGTCGCTGCCTGGAGAAGAATAAAAACAGGATCTGGTCAGAGTCCTCAGGAGATGAGACCAAGAGAAAGGAATTATGGGGTAGGGGGCTCCCATGGGCTCCCATCTACACTGTCCCAAGGGTCTCAGAATCAGCTTCCCTCGTCCCATACTTACTTGCAGCTTGAGCATAATTCCCTCCTTTTCTACCTGTGGGAGGAAAGCATTCTGTGAGGGACTGGAAAGGAGGCTCCATGAGATCCTAGAAGAGCCAGCTAGTGCTGGACCTTAGAGAAGTTTCCAGAACTCTGACTGCAGATCCAGGGCAGGATAAGGAAACACATGGAAAGATGTGCAGGGATTGGAACAACCACCCTCCTGGAAGTCTCTCCTCAGCAGGAAACTTCCCATAACCTCAACTATGGGGAATCAGGTCTCCATCATCAGAACCATTAAGGTGAAAGATTTACCCTTCATTTCCATATGTGCTTCACAAAAGAGTAATTGTTAGCACACAGATCTCTAGACTGGATCAGCTAGTGTGGATGGTGCCTCCCATAATGCATCAGGAGACAGCAAATTTCCTACTTGGTACTTGAAATTTCCCAGTGGGACAAGAAAACTCAGACTTCACCCCCATCTTTACCTGAGCTCTTCTGCTTCCGGATCACAACTCCCACCACAATGCCAATGATCACAACTCCAAAGACAACCAGGCCAGCAATGATTCCCATGATGGAGGTGGTGGGCATTTCTGGAAAGAGAAGGGAAGTGAAGAGCCCTGACAGTTTGGAGGATTCAAGAAGGGCTCCTTGTCCACTCCTTACCCAATCTTAGGGTGAGGGGCTCAGGCAGTCCTTCGTGCTGCACACGGCATGTGTATCTCTGCTCGTCTCCAGAGGGAACCACCACAGCTGCCCACTTCTGGAAGGCCCCGTCCTCTGCTGGCCTGGTCTCCACAAGCTCCATGTCCTGGGTCTGGTCCTCCCCGTCCCGCTGCCAGGTCAGGGTGATCTCCGCAGGGTAGAAGCCCAGGGCCCAGCACCTCAGTGTGACCTCGCCATCAGTGAGGTGGTGATGGGTCACCTTTGTCTTTGGAGGCACTGAGGGGAAGGATCAGACAATTCAGGAACTCTGCATTACCTCCCATGGGCCACCTCAGCAGAGCTCATGTGGTCATCCTGAGAATGGACAGGACAACTGGGTTGGGGGAGGGAGTGCAAAACCCAGACGTCAGCTTCGTGCAGATATCTGGGATATCATCTATTCCTTGGAAAGTTCTAGAATGAAGGTGAGACTGACCAGAGTTAGTGGCTCCAAGTGTCTGAGGGGAAGAACTGGAATTTCTATCTGACTTGGATAGAGGCTGAGAAATTCTGAAACGTTGGAATCATACCTACAGACTCAGTGGGTGTGGGGTAGAGACCTAGGCCCAGGAAATACAGCCCCCTGTGGGTCCCAAGGCTACATCCAGGATCAAAGGGAACTGCTGATCAGTCAGGAATCATCTCCCCTACTCTCCCCAGAGAAAGTGGATTCCTTAACTGTCTTTTGGGAGAAAGGAGGGCTCCTCTGGGCAAGTCGCTCTCTGGTACATGATCCGGAAATCTGCCTAACCCCTCAGTCTCCACACCCATGTGAGGGTGTCATGTGCAGTCTGCCCTGTTTTCCTCTCCTCCTTTTCAGAGGCGAACATGGTGGACACAGTCCCAGCTCTAAAGCAGTTTGGGGAGGCGCCCCGCGGCCCCAGGTACCTGTTCGCAGCAGCGTCTCCTTCCCGTTCTCCAGGTATCTGCGGAGCCACTCCACACACCTGCCCTCCAGGTAGGCCCTCCAGTGATCCGCCGCACCCGCCTTTTCCCACTTGCGCTGCGTGATCTGAGCGGCCGTGTCCGCCGCGGTCCAGGAGCGCAGGTCCTCGTTCAGGGCGAAGTAATCGGCGCCATCGTAGGCGAACTGAAGGTACCCGCGGAGGAGGCGCCCGTCCGACCCCACGTCGCAGCCATACATCCTCTGGATGGTGTGAGACCCTGCCCCGCCCTACGGTCAGCGTCGGTGAGCGATGTCCCCGGGGGCACCGCGACCCCGGGGTCAGCCCCGTCCCCGCGACCCTGACGGGCGGCGATGGTCAGAGCGCATTTGGGGCTAAACTGAAAACGAAACCGCAGCGAGGGAGTCACCGC